TCCGCCTCTCCCCGGCCCGAGGGAGACTGCGCACAGAGCAGTGAAGTGGCTTGTACCCGCGTTGCCAGGTGTGAGGGACAGGGCGGTGATTCATACGGTCGGCCTGTCCCACGCTCCCCCCTGCCTGTCCTTGTCCCCACTGGCCAGCACAGTGGGGGGCACACCCATCGGGTTTCCACAGATATTTGCTGAATGAATGACGGAAGTCATCCAGCAGGCAGGCCGGCGCGGGGCTCACGCCCGTAATCCCAGCACCTTGGGAGGCCGAGATGAGAGGATGGCCTGAGCCCACGGGTTGGAGACCAGCCTGGGCAACCTGGTGAGACCCCATCTCTACAATAAAAATAAAGATAAATTAGCTGGGCGTGGTGGCATGTGCTTGTAGTTCCAGCTACTTGGAAGGCTGAAGTGGAAGGATCACCTGAGCCCAGCGGGTTGAGGCCACAACCACCTGGGTGACAGTGACACACCTACTAAAAATAAACAAGTCATACAGGCTTCAAAGATTGGAAGCGGGGCTCGCAGACGCATTTGAGAAATGAGGAAACAGGTCTACAGCATTTTGGTGCCAGGCGTCTTTTTTTTGTTTTTTTGTTTTTCTTCTTTTTTGGTGGGAGTCTCACTCTGTCGCCCAGGCTGGAGTGCAGTAGCACACTCATGGCCACCATAGCCTCGAGGTGCTGGGCTCAGGCGATCCTTCCACCTCAGACTTCCTAGTAGCTGAAATTACAGGCACATGCCACCACGCCCAGCTCATTTTCTGATTTATTGTAGAGAGGAGGTCTCGCCAAGTTGCCCAGCCTGGTCTCGCATCCCTGGGCTCAGGCAATCCTCTGGCCTCTGCCTCCTAAAGTGCTGGGATTATAGGCACGAGCCACTGTGCCTGGCAGTCCCAGAACTCTTAGCTGTCCCAAGAAACATGTGTTGAGTGTGTACCCAGAACTATGTGCTGAAGATCAATTTCTGTTTTCAAACAATGCAGAGTTTAAATGAGGAGTACAGACTATTTCAAGACAGCTGACATTTACTGAATCCTTCTTACATGGACCTGGCTCACATATATGAACTATGATGATCATGATCCTATGAAGTGGCTATTACTAACTCCATTTTACTGAGAAGTAAATTGAGGCTCAGAACTGGTGTTGGGTCTGGCACCAGAAACCAAACAGTGGGCCTCTAGAGACTGTTCTTTTTTTGGGGGGGGGGGGCTTCCAGGGAGGGTTCGGAAGCCTGATAGATCAATTCTAAAAGAGCTGCAGCACTGAGCCTGTGTCTTTTGTTTTGTTTTGTTTTAAAGCAGGATTTATTGAGGACAGAAAAGCTTCCACAGTGGGAGGGGACCCAAAGGGATTGCCCGAGCCTGTGTTCTCAATTAACTGCTATTCCCTAACTCCTCGTATCGAAGTCATGATACAATCGCTGTAATGGGGGCATGTGTGGTGTGGGGTACCCGACCCTAAAGGATAGGTGAAATGTTCAAGATAAGGTCACATGTAGATTTTAAATAAATTGGGGCTGGGTGTGGTGGCTCTCAGCACTTTGAGAGGCCAAGGCGGGAGGATCCCTTGAGCTCCACTGAGTTCAAGACCAGCCTGGGCAACATAGCGAGACCTCATTGCTACAAAAAATAAAAAACTTAGTTGGATGTGGTGTCAGGCGCCTGTTGTCCCAACTATTTTTTTGGGTTTTTTTTTTTTTTTACATCAGAGTCCCACTCTGTTGCCCAGGCTGGTGTACAGTGACATGCTCATGACCACAGCAGCCTCAACCTGCTGGACTCGGGCAATCCTTCCGCTTCAGCCTTCCAAGTAGCTGGAACCACAGGTGCACACCACCATGCTCGGCTAATTTCTTGATTTATTGGAGAGATGAGGTCTCACCAAGTTGCCCAGCCTGGTCTCTAACCCCTGGGCTCAGGCAATCCTCATTCCTCAGCCTCCCAAAGTGCTGGGATTACAGGTACAAGCCACTGCACCTGGCCTGTCCCAGCTACTCTGGAGGCTGAGGGGGGAGGATTGCCTGAGTCTAGGAGGTGGAGGCTGCAGTGAGCTGTGATTATGTCACTGCACTCCAGCCTGGGTGACAGAGTGAGACCTAGACTTAATAATCGTTGTATATAATTATTGCATATTATTATTATTATTATTATTATTTGGAGTTACTAAAGGCCCAGAGAGTTATGGGAACCAGGAGGGTGGTGGTGGTAGTGAAAGATAAGGTGGTAGCCGGGCTCGGTGGCTCAGCCTGTAATCCCGCGCCTGTGGGAGGCTGAGGTGAGTGGATTGCCT